ACTTTCTTAAGTAGTAGGGAATTCACTTTCCTAAATTTATACATAAATGGTTTCCTTGACCGGAAAGTGTTTTCGGTTGACCAAGTCATTTTCGGACAACCAAACGGATGAAAGTCCGGAAAATAATTTCATCAAAACAAACGCACCCTAAAAGTGAGAAAGAGAGAGCGCAAGTATTTCTACGTCGCTTATATTTGACCTCGAGATTTGGCATTTTCAAGAAAGGAAAGGAGAAAAAGAACCCGAGATTGACACGAGATTAATGCATTGCGAGTTAATATTTGTCGCTGTAAAATTCAAACGACAACATAAATCTCGACGTCTTTACTCCTATTATGATGTTTCTTCTAGCTCCTAGTTTTCTACGATGGAGTTTAGCTCAAAGACATTATCGACTCGTATCGCTACATTACATCCATATGTCGTATCTCGGACGCAGTGATAATTATATAACTTAGAATTTCATGGCTTCCTAGATTCCCAAAATTGGCCTTGGAAAGAAACAAAAATATACAGCTGAAACCGTCTTGTGTGACAGCCAATAAAAGACTAAGTGGGAATATTCATCTAATCCAAAGCAACTAGCCGAAGGAATCTACGCATCTATGCTTATCCAAGACAAATCAATGTTTAATCTCCACCAATGTGAGCAGGCCAATCTGCGTATTCTAATCCCTAGCACCAAACAAGAAAACCCTAATAAGAACAGCCAATAAAAAGCCTCGCAAAGTAGACGACGACCCAGCTTTTGCTCTCGCCCCTTCTTTGATCTCGTCAATCATGAGAAAAAGAAAAATTTGCAAATCGTTGTTTATTTTTCTCTTGGGGAAGTAGCGTATATCATAAGGTAGGAATGACATTATAATATGGATGGTGGGTGCATTAAAAATAGGGGATGCAACTGCACCAAGAAGTTTGGGGAGTTGTCGTGGCTGGCTGGCCAAGTTCAATGAAAGCGAGCGGTGGTGAATTCCGCGTCACACACATGCCTTCCCTCCTCAGTGTCTCTGTCTCCATAAAACATAAAGAACAATCTCTAGGAACTCTCAATTATGCATCCCACTTCCCTACACTCCTTTTGGTTAGTAATTTGTGCTTTTAATAACCGAGCCCCGCTGTGCCCGATGATAAAAAAAAAAAGTCATGGGTTCGAGCCGTGTGGTGAGCGGAACTCGATTCCAATCGAACCTCGAGCAATTTATTATCTCATGAGAAGAGGTTTTCAAGATTTCCGGCTCATCGACGGAGCTGCGACGACGGGCTTGCACACCGATCGGTATAGGATGATTAGTTATGATTCGAACCAATCATATTATGTAGCGGACATAAGACCCTCGAGATATTTTGTAGAAGAATAGCCGCGTTGTCCTTTCCAACCTGACATTTTCAGCATATAAAAAAGAAGTGATTTTCTTTTTCCATCGATCACGGCGAATCGTCGCAACTCAATTTGAGTACGACATCGAAGCCAAAAGATCTCGAGTTGGAGTTCCCTTAAATGCAGGAGGCGGTGTTAAAAACCCAAAGCTTAATCTGCTCGTTTCTCGACGACAAATCTCGCTCCTCGGATTCCATATAAAAGGCCCGCCACTACTCAGCGGTACCCCGTGTCGTCGCCGGGGTAGAAACGGATGGCGCTCTCCGGCGACCAACCGTCCGAGCCGTGGCCAAAAGACAGCGATACAAGAAAGGGGACAAAAAATTGCGGTACTCCATCCATCTCTCGACCAAAATTTTCGCACAAGCAATAGTCAGTCCCCCCCCCCCCCCCCAAAATTCAGAACCCTATGAAATCTAAGGAAATGGGAAAGCGACTGGACAAAGCAAGATTCTTGGCCCCCTAGATCACGCACAACGTGACTCAATTACCACGTAAAATAATTTAGGTGGGGGGGCCCCACCCTAATTATTATATAAAAAAAAAGGAAGGAGGAAAAAAAAAAGAAAAACAGCCACTTGGTTTTTTTTTTTTTTGGGGGGGGGGGTGGGGGCCCGACAAGACGAGTGACCGCAGGAGACCACGGGCAGAGGCAAGTGGGGCGCAGGCTGAGGTGGCGCTGACAGTGCCCGAACGCACCAACACACGCGCCCCCCCTCCCCCTCGCGCGTGGGGCCCCCCACCCCCCGGCCGCAAATGCGGCGAGGCGCGGCGCATCGCTAATAATTTTTTATACTTTTTCCCCCTTCCTTCCTTCCTTCCTTCCTTCGCGCAACTTGTGGGAAAAAGCCGATTTTTCTTATAATTTCCTTTTTTAAAAAAATTATATATTTTTTTTGGGTGGGGGTTCTCCCGGAAAAATGAATAATAATAATAATAATAATAAAAGAGGAGGGGATGCAAGTTGCATTTGTAATTGGCGATGTGATGGCGTTCTGTTTTTAGACCGGGGGGGTCTTTCCCTCCAATTGGAGGCAAAAACCCGCAGGGTCTCGCTTCTTCCTCGTTGCTTGGCTCCACTGAATTTTCTGAGGATCATCGACACATTGAGCTCAGTTTTCTTATTTATATTACTTGGTTAATCTGTGTAAAAGTGTGCCTGTATATCTAATATACGCGCGTGTGTATATATATATATAAGCGAGTTCAATCTAAATGCCCAGTTTTGATCTAAAATTTTCGCGGATTAGACTATAAATCGTGTTGCCGTGTTATTCAAAGTGAAAAAAAGGATGAAACTGACCGTGCAACTGTTATTTTGTCGCGCGGTTTTTCCTTAGTGAGTTCGAGGGTACGTTCTGTTTTAGCTTCGAGAGGCACGGTTTTCGCTTTTTTCGCATTTCCTTTCTAAATTTTTAGAAGCGAAACCCGACATGAGCTTATATGGGAAATTCTTAGATGATCCTACACATCGACATTCAAATCTTTCGAAATGCCCCCCCCAAACTTCTGAGGTCGAATGAACGGTCGAATTTAAAGAGAATTGCAAGACAGAAGTTAGTAAGAATGAAAGTCGAAAAGCAATGATCGGTCCCAAGGATCATTAAATCGTTGCCTAGTAAAAGCAATAAGAACGAGGATTTTCCTATATCCGCCCCTGATCTTTAGCAAATTCCTCCTTCACCCTTTTTCACGTACATAACCCAAAATCAACTATCGGAGTGCGGAAAAAAACAAGCGGCTCAACATCAAATCTCGGAAGCTAATCCAAACGCACCACAAATTGACAAAACCGACGCTGATAAGTGATAAGTGCGGGGGCGGGGGATGGGAAGGGGGAGGTGGCGTTTCGTCGATCCATTGGTCGATGGAGACGTCAAAGAGAAAACCCCCATCAACTTTAGTGGGCCCCAGATTTATTTTTTTTACGGTAAAGAAAAATTCCCCTAAAAAAGATTTAGAAAATAGGAAAAGATATGAAAAGAAAATACCTTCTCTCTTTCTCTTCCCTACGCCTCTTTACATCCTCCAAAAGCCGCCTCTACTCACATTGCAAGACAGAGAGTACAAAAGGACAAGTAGTGGCCCAACTTTTGCTCTCTCTTTAGTCTTCATCTCCATTTATCACCAAACTATATATATATATTGAAGGGCAATTTGGCTTTCGGATAGACATGGATACTTTGCCAAGGGCAACGTCCATCCAATGAGGAAGGCGTGCCCCAATTTGGACCCACAATTTTGCCAAATTTTTATGTTTTTGGCCCCCCGAATTGTTTGGAAGCATTCTCCCACGTTCCTCCAATCAAATGGGTGTTGTATGACTCTTCGCCACGTATGTCATACAAGGTCAAAGTAGACACCCGACGGGTTTCAAAGAGATTCATCAAATACCTAACCCTTTCGAGTGGATAAGTGGATAGGGTTTTCGATCAATCAATGCGGGCTTCGATTTCAGCGGCCAAACCCGAAGATTATTTTACGTGGTGGATGAGAAGAATTGGCAAAATCTCTTTTGTTTGCATAGAATAAGAGAGGTGGAATGCGAAAACTTGTGAGGATTCCACAAACAAAAAAAGTAGAAAGAATGAAGATTGCCCATCAGTCGGTGTTCAAGAAATTTCGTAGAAGTTTCGGTGGGCTCTCCATAGCTAATAGGATATATTCGATCGATCTTAATATAATAAGTGTTTTGATTAATTAGTATCCCTTGGATTTTTCTTTTTCTCCCGAACATTTTGATCTGGTCGTCTTCTGATTATTAGATTCTCCGATGGGTCTCCCCTGATAAGAGATGAGCGAAAATAACGAAAGAAAAACACGCTTTTGTTTATAATAGGGGGTTTTTTCTTCAATGGTTAATTGGAAACTTCGAGTCCGAAAGCTAGATTGAGTCCCGATTCATGAGTTCCTCCCTTCGTTTCAGCCAAAAGTGTTCGATCATCGGATGAATTTTTTACCGATTTATGTTTTGATTTTTCGTGGGCTATATCTACCTGGCTTCATGAATTGCAATCGATCTAACTAAAACGAAATGGTAGGTAACTTTTTTAGTTGGGTCATGGTTTTGGTACGTGGTTGTTGTTACCAGGCATTCTTTTAAACTTTTTAGACATGCGCTCAAGATGAGAGCAACCGATGCAGCCCTAGCTGTCTATTGAACCCTAATTACCAAGGAAAATTCTAAGAGATTTGAGCACAAGATCATAATACTATCTACAAAGCTCAGTTTCTTGAAATGGGTGACTATCGAGTCATTATAATAGGGAGGATCTAATCTTTGGGTCTTCATGACCAATTGCTTGAACTTGATTTTCATACTATTCAACCACCGTTCGGCGATGATCCTAGAGTACAAGTTTTAGCTTCCAATTGAATTAATGATAATGATGGATAATTCCACAAGCCTCACATCCCTTATCCTCCTCACCAACTTTTACCATTTTCCGCCATTTCCAAAGCTTCATGATCATCTTCATCAACCGCAAAGGAAGGAAGAAAAGATCCAAGAAAACACGAATCGACATATAAATCAACTGCTTTATTGGAGTCGCACAATCATAGTCGTGATCAAGAAAAACAAAAGGAGGACGAGGAGCAGAAGATGAAGAAGAAGAAGAAGAAGAAGAAGAAGAAAGAGAGCACCGACAAACTATCATTTTTCTCTCTTTCTTTTCAAGACTCAGAGAGAGAGAAATCGGGTTTCGCCGGCTGACTTACAAAACTTCGCCGGAAAACTACTCCGGCTACGATTTTCCCACTTAAAGAAAGGAAAATTAAAGAAAAGAAAAAGAAAAAATTTAACAAAGAGAATCAATTAGCAGAATAATACCCCGAGAGCTAACTCGCGTATGCGATCGTAAGAAACACCCAAGAAAAGGAAAAGGAAGGAAGAGGACGACGTCGAAGCTTTCTCTCCGGTCAGGTGAACAAATTGAGGAGCTTCGTCTCCGGTTCTCCCACATTATTATTGCTCTCGAAGCACGTCGTCGTGCCGGACTCCTCCGAATTCATCGACGGGGTCCCCGGCCGCCGCGTCTGATGGACGGCCTTGAGGGCCGACTTCGTCTTGGCCTGAAAGTTCGTCGGCGTGAGGCGGAGATCAAGATCGATCGGCTGGAGGAGGAGGCGCTTGGCGTTATCGGCGGCAGCATCAAGCCTATTGCGCTTTGGGGAGACCCTCGACCTCGAAGTCGAGAATCGGGATCCCGGATTCGGATCGTGGAGCTTCCATGCGTCGGCACACGTGTCGCCTGCCTCCGAGGCCTCGTCGGACGCAGGGAGGGAGGCGCCGCCACCGCCTCCGTCGAGGAGCTCCGGCATGGCCCGAAGCGAGCCGCCGCGCAGGACGGTCTCCACCGCCGCCTGGCAGACGTGCCAGCTGCCGGTCCACAGCAGCCCCACCGCCCCGTTCACTGGGTTCACCGTCCTTCCACACGCTTCGAACAGCAGCGACTGGAACAGCGCTGCACAGTAAAAAAAAAGCTTAAAGCTGTCAGAGAACTGGGGATGCACTCATGTCTCGAATAAAAGACCAGCGTGACTATTGACACGATCATTCGTGTTAAGAAAGATCAGAGGACGTGATTTAATGTCTCAATCACCGACAACGCACGTACCGGGCCTCTGCGCTTCGGGGACGGCGGAGATGAAGGACATGAGGCCGGCGCGGCCGAAGAACTTGGCGACGAAGACGGTGGCGTGGCCCTGGGCCTCGGGGCTCTCGATCCACTGCAGGCAAGGCCGCAAGATGCAGGACTCGCTGCAGCCCTTCCTAAGAACTCGGCAACCGTTGCAGCTCATACCTTATCGATCTCTCTTGATTCAAGAAACAAGAAAGAGGAGACCACCGATGATCTCGAAGCTTTTCCTTTCTTTTCTTTTTACTTTGATAGGCCCCTCAGATGATTCTTCACTTCACACGAAAGTTTTGAGGCTTTGAAGCAGTCTTGGATAGCTTTGACCCTAGGAAACGGATGTAGAGAGAGAGAGAGAGAGAGAGAGAGAGAAATTGGGTTGCAGGGTGCAAGAGAGGGGATATATAGATGCAGGGATGATTGGGGTGGTGGTGGTGGAGGTGCTAAGGGGTCCTGGCTTAACTAGGGTTGGGTTAAAATCGAAGGAATCTTGGAAATGTTTGGCTTAAATTATTCAAAGATGGAGCATTGGTCTTGAAAGATAAGATCGATCCTATTTTTAAGATATTTTATTTAGAAACTCTGTCTAATCCGTATCATTGTTCACTCATAGGTCCTTGACGCTCGGGACTCATAAGAACATTGTGTAAGATGTAATTTGGATTTGGAGTCTCTCAATTCATGAGTAAATTAATAAATTTTACATTATCAGTAACTTACGTCAACCTCAATTATTTGTGTTTCGATCATTCGTGAAACTAAACCTGTCAAAAAAGGTCATAAACACATTTTTCAACACATATTTAATTGGTTGAGTTACTATATGAGTTTGTTGTATTCAGTAAATGGATCATAAATGAATTTAGATGGTAAAACCCAAAATAATATGGATATTAAATAGATTCACAATTTACTTAAACTCAATCCACCTTTATGACTTTCTCTCGCTCTCACATAATCTCATGTTCACTCATCCCGTGTTCTTACCTCAGTTTGTGATGAGTTTTTCTAGATTTTGTTAAATATGAAAGTGTTTTATCAATATGAGTCGGATTAGATATGAGTTTGGTGCGGTCAGGTCGGATATAGGTCATTGAATTTGAATTGCATAGAAATTGATTAAAACAAGTTAAATGGTCGGTTTAGGTCAAATCATTTTCGATTCGACTCGATCCACTCATTTGACGGGTCAACGTGAAACCAAGAAATTATTAGTCAACTCTCTTCATTTATTATGAAGCTGAGAGTATATATGTTTTGGAATAAGATAGTAAATATTCAAGAGAAAATGCTTACTATGTGCTTTTCTTTTCACCGAAATAATCTGTGTTTTTTCGAAGCAGCGCTTGCTTGTATTAGTGCATCCCACGTGATCTACACATAAAATGATTCACTATTTTACATAATGTCAACTGATAACGTGTAAAAGCACAACTCCGAAAATTTTTTTAATAAGTGGCAATTTACAAAGAGAAGGATGAAGGTGAAAATATGTTAATTCGAGGGAGAATTTCAATCAATGGAGGAGAGTTTGCTAGAAGATTTATGGAACTCTGTATACCAAGCAAATATATATATATTCAGGCCTTTCCTGATGATCGTGCTTTCTTGAGATCGTACACAAGTCAAAGAAGACGAGTCCCACATTAAAGTGAGGTGAAATGATAGAGTGATTTCTAACCTAGTTTGGTGACTTAAGGGTCGAATCCCTTTTGCCGGGCATGCCGGACTCCATGAACAGTTTATCAACTCTCTTTTATCGAATAAATTTTCTCCTCTGATAAATCCACTCCGACCTCTGTCGTTCTCTTTTAAACAACTACCGAGCACAACTCTAATTAGCGAATTTTTTTTTGTATAATTAAAAGGGTGTGGAAATCCATAATTACGGAATTGCTTGACCCCAAAGTCACTTTTTTTTTCTTTTCCAAGTCGAAATTTCAAAGAAAAAAAAAATCAAACATGAAATCAGGGTTAGTGGAGGAGGAGATGCTGGGTGGGTGATGAGTGTGGGCGGCACTGTGGGCTTCTCCTTTTTTCCTGGTGTTGGGGGTTTTAGATTCCAAAGTCTTGGGCGTAAGCGGCTCCGTGTTTCCGCAATTGGTCGTCCCTCCACCGTCGGATTCTTCCTTTTTTAAAGTTGAGTCCATGTTGATTGGCTTTCCCTTTCATTCGATTTTTCTATTATTATTTCTTTGTTTTTTTTATTTCTTGTTTTTTCATTTTTTTTATTTTTCGTTGTGCCTTTCTTCTATTCAAATTTGCCTTCTCTTTTTTTTTTCTTGGTGTCATAAGATACTTTGATGGGATATTTGTATTTTTTTGAACGAAAATTATAAAAAAAAGGTTAGGTTTTTTGTGTGGTGGGTTATGGTGGTGTCCCAAGAGGGGCATGGACATCAATGGCTTATATTCGCATCCCCCGTGGTGGGGCATGGAGAATTCCAAGTGGGGAGGAGAAAAAAAAAAGAAATCAATTCGATATATCGCAACTGACTAATCGTTGAGGGTCTAGTCCATTGTTCAAAGAAGAGTTTTAAATGAATGAAATATATGATTTGGTTGATTTAAGCTTAAAAAGGAAGTCAAGACCATTGGGCTTGTAATCATGAAAGATTAGTGCCAAATTAAGACGAGAGTATTGGGGACTGGCTTGACTCTATGCGTTGCTCATTTAGGTGACATTTCCTTATGTCCTCTCTGATTGCGTTGTTTCAAAAGTGTTTTGGTGCTAGTTACGGTGGTGGAAAGAGGCGTTGCAGTTTTCACAAGATGTTTGACAGATTTCTCATGGTTATAGTATCCTCACAGTTACAACGGCTTCCAATAATTTGAAATTTGTCTTGCCGAATTTAAAGGTATTGTAGTTTCAAAATGAGTACCAAATGTGATTTTACGATATTTCAAAACACAATTATGGTGTAGCCACGTTTGTACCATGAAAGACATATGAACCAAATTGAACACAAATGAGAAATCAATCAACCATATTAATGCCTTTTCACTTCATTGGGTTTCTATCCATTCTAACAAAATTTTCTTATGGCAATCTCTAGACCCAGCTTGCATTTATTGGTGAATTACTCTTATACTATGGAAAAAGGAAAATTTCGTACATGTAAATCACCTATCACGTACGACACTCTCCTCGATGTCTCAAAACATCTCAACAATTGATTTATGAGAATGAGATTTTCTTCCTTGATTGAGATTTATTGAGACGACGATGGGAGCACTATACAGGATAAAGGATCTTTGTCCGGAAATCTTTTCAATAGCTTTATGTCTTATTGAAAGTGAAAAAGATTTGTTGAACAAAAATCTATTGATTAAAGTAGATTACAAGGCTGCAAGATGTTTTTCAAACAAAGTGAAATTTTAACTCCTAAGTGGATTGACAAGTGAAAATCAAGGACTAAATATTACCAAAATCTTTGAATTCTTATTACTAACTGGAGAAATAATTTTTTTTAAACGAAACCACAAAAAAGGCCGCACCATGTTTAAATAGTATATCTAACGTCCCCTAAAACTCAATATGTATCTCATACTAGAGTTCGAAAGGAAAGAAAAAAACTCGATAGTAGGCATAGAATCTTGAAATGACACGTCTGCTTTCATTGTTGAGAAAACACGACCAAATCTATAACAAGACGATAACACCGTTTGGAAGCTCATGGAGCCAAAGATGGAGCTAGAGCCTGAGGCAAGACATCTTTGGAGTAAACATTGTCGGTTTACACTCCTAAATCTATAACAAGACGATGATAACACATGCTGCACAATCCTTGTGGACCGAGGCCACCGGCTAGGACCGTGACACCGAGCCTTGCATGGAACAACTAGACAAGGATGTAACCACGCCAATACAGGATTCTAGATATCACCACATCAAGGAGAGGATCAAGGGAAAATGTTCAACCGACTAGGTGCGACCAAATTGTCTAATCTAATAAATAGCAGGGGAATTACCAAAAGAAGTTCAAAACAAATTGAACTTGTGTCAATTCAATCCTAAACCTTTCAATTCGGTCAATTTAGTATAGCCAAAATTGGCTAGAAATTGCTGACATGAACGATGACTGTCTTATGTGGTACGGCCGGCGCTAATGTGGACAATTTTTGTAACTTTTGATATTTTTCTTTTCTTTTCTTTTCTTTTCTTTTTTTGCTTCTTCCTCCGCCGATCGTTGGAACTCGACGATGGTCGCGATCAACCACAGGCAACAACCGGTGAGGGTCACCCTCGCCGGCCTCAGGGGAGGGGCAACCTCTCCCAAAGCCGGTGAGGCCGACCCTTGCCAAGCTCTGGCTAGGGCGAGCCTCGCTCGAGGCCCCATATTTCAGCGAGATCAACTCTCATTCCTGGTTGACTGTGGCTAATTACCGGCCATCACCGAAGCTTGGTGACCAGCAGAGGAAGAAGAAAAAAAAAGCAAGAAAAGAAGAGAAAAAGAAAAGAAAAAGGAAAACAAAATTATAAAAATATTTAGAAAATATAATAAAACATTACAAAAATTATCTACTCCAGCGTTAGTTGTGCCACTTAGGATTGTTAGCGTCCAAGTCAGTAATTTCCGGCAAAAAATGTCCATCCAGATCACAATTTGTATCAATTAAACAAATTGTTGGAATTCCCAATGTGATACATTCTTGAATGACTAAATTTGAAAATTTTAAAAAATTTTAGGATTAAATTTGTCAAATTGAAAGGTTGAGGATAGATGGCACAAGTGTAATAAGTTTATGATTTTTTTGGTAATATTTCCAACAAATTGTAGATACATTGAAATGGAGGAACACCATTAGATTCATTAAGCTGTGAAAATATACAGATGTGAGCACTAAGGGCGTGAATGATAACCATTATGTTCCAGAAACAATTCCTGAAAGAGAAATAGATTTTTCTATTTCTCTAAGGAAAGAAACCCGTTTGATAACAACAAAAAATTTCTATTTCTGGAACGGAAACCCGTTTGATAACGGCATAAAATTTCTATTTCATGGAACATAAACCCGTTTGATAACAATACAAATTTCTATTTCCCAGAACATAAATCCATTTTTTTAGAAATGGTCTCTAAAATGAAAATCAATCAAACTACCCAAGCCCTAATAAAGCCCTAAAGGCTTATTCATTCTAAGGATTGTATTATTTTTTAGGGCTTTAGGGTTTTTTAGGGGTAAAGACCCCTTTTGGGGGTTAAACCCCTTTTAGGGTTTTTTAGGGGTTAAAACCCTTTTTAAATCCCTAAACTAAGGAGTCTTCAAAAATATCATTTGAGCACCTCAAAAAATTTAAATTTCACTCAAAGTGGGTAGCCACAGGTATTTTAAGCCATTCTGTGAAGTTTTGAAATTTTTTATTTTTGATTTTT